GATTGAACTAAATCTAAAATTAAAATGCTAGTAAATTAAACTTGGAATCAACATAAAGTTGTCCATCTTATGAGCAATTTGCTACAGATACATGCTCAAGCACTACAATTAGACACCAACAAACTCAAAACTAAGAAATATAACAAGGATCAACAAAGCAAAAACCACAAAATACCAACCCAAGACCCTGGAAGTAAAAAGCGTGGTCGAAGGTTTTAAGGAGAACACCATGAATGTAACCTTGGTAAGTACTTAATGGAGTGGAGGATAATCAATTAAGCTAAATGTCTGTAGCTTGGTTAAGTTTTTAATCTTTTCGATTTTGCTTGTTTCTTAAAAATGGTGGATAATCAAGGCCTCAATAACTAAGATTTTTATCATTGTTATTGCGGTACCATTTTTTTTTTTTTGAAATGAAGGGATTAATTTCATTATAACTACATAGTAGTAAAATCTTTCAAACATTGAGATAAATATACAACGAGATCGATTTAATTCTTTGATTTCAAAATGAGAAAAGCTCATAGAAGCCTTGACTTATCACCAAAAAAGACAAAGTCATGTATGTAACTTCTCACATTCTTTTCCTTTCTTCCATCTTGAAATTTGATGAGATCGTAGGCATCTTTGCTCTTTAGTCACAATATCCCATACCAGAGCCCTATCTTTTTGTTTTGAACTTTTCCCTCGTTTCCTCCTCATTTTCTTTTGCTTCCCCCCTCATTCGTTGTTTCCTCTTTTGTTGAAGAGTGATCATTTTCTTTTCGTTGGAAAGCATAAACTCTTCACAAGTGCCTTTTATCTTTTATCAAGAATTCAAGTGGAAGATCTTCGCCATTGCCTTTTGCTTTTCTTTTGAGGCAATGGTCAGTAACAATCCTTGGCTTGTAGATTAAGAGCAATCTTCATCCAATGCCTTTGTACCTTATAATCCCCTAACTTTGGGGGAGTTTTCGCATCGGAATATGGATGGAAACCAACTGCTATGCTCATAATCCCCAAATAGAATAATCTATGTTTAATTTACTAGCATTTTAATTTAAGGTTTAGTTCAATCAGAAATAAAATACAAAATTTTCTAAGAAAAAAAATGACTTTTTTGAATAAAATACCGTCATCCTTAACTTTTAGTCATAATTTTATGTAAGTTTATTAATTTTCAATTTAAACAGTCCATTTCAAAAGAATATTTTGTACTGGACACGTAAGTCTAACCGTTAATCCACTATTAATAGTTTCATTAGATTGATAATATGACAATACTAAAAATATATTTTTATCTTTCATTAATTTTAAAAGTACTTCTCTATATAAACTATAATTTTTTATTTAAAAAAAAAACTTATCCCTTACCTCTTCCCCAGCTAGAGCACTAGATTTGGCTCCAGCTAAATTTCCCTCACCTCACGCTCCATTCCTCTCCCACCCAACCTCGAGCTCCCCCAATCCTATGTTCCCTAACGGAGCGCAGATCTCACTCTTCCTTGAGAAAATGTTCCCTCCACCCCTAACACTTCCTAAGGGAATGCAGATCTCGCATTCCCCAGGGTAGTCGCATGCATGAGATTTGTGCTTCCTTGGAGAGTGGGGGGTTTAGGGGGCACAAGATCCATACTCCGGCTCTTCTTCAAAGCACAGGGGTGGGGGGCGTGAGGGTGGCCAGTCGATAACTTAAAAAATAAAAGAAATAATGAAAAAGAGGTAAAACGAAAAAAGAGTAATTTATGACATTTTACACTTATCGTCAACATCATTTATACGTTTAGAATGGATTATTTATTTTAAAAATTAGTAGACTCATATAAAATTATAACTCAAAATTAAAAAATGAGGATATTTTTTTTAATTCAACAATTATTACGTCAATTTTTTTGCCACATAAGCATCATGCCACTTTAGTTTTTTGCCATGTTAGAATTTGTACCATGTTAGCATGATCATATCACATCAATATATAGTCAATGTCATATTAGTAAGAAGTGCCATGTTAGCTTAATTAAAATGTCACGTTAACATACTTAACAGTTTAATTTAACGGTGATTAAAATTAGAGATTGAAATTAATAAATTAACAAAATATAAAGATCAATATTTTCAAATTATTATAGAAAGATTAAATTTATATTTTTATAGAATATAGGGGCTAATTGTATAATTTAACTTTTCAATTACTAAATTTAAATATTGTATAAACCCAAAAGTTATTAAGGAAAGAATTAATGAGAAACAGTTTGAAACAAAACGTAAATAAGATGATTTGATGTTTTATTAATTGTTTTGTTGAAATAGAAAGTTTGAGAAATATGGTTTAAAAACTTTGAAGACAAGGGATAAGTAGGGGTGTGCACTGGTAGGTTTTGTCAGTTTCGGTTCGGTTTTGACCAAAATCGACTAAAACTTTTTTCCCTATAACCGACCGAACCGCATATGATGCAATGTCGGTTTCGGTCGGTTTTTTAGAAGCTCGGTTTCGGTCAGTTTGGTCGATTTTTGAGGGTGAGATCAATGGGTTGACTTGAGCTGTGATTTATGGGCTAAAATGGTTAATGATTCATGAGCAACATTAATTTCAATGGACTCGTCGGGGGGAATTAGGTCCTGGTCCTCCTGGACTCGTCGGGGCAGAGAATTAGGTCCTAGCGGGGGTGGGGGGAAATTAGGTAATCTGCTAGTCGCCTCGCAAGACTCAAGTGGGGAGGGTGGGGGGAAATCAGGTCGGGAGTCGGGACTCTTGGGAGGGGGGATTTCGTTAGGTCAGTGGGTGGGGAGGGGGAATTAAGTCAAGACCGAGTGGGGGGGCGATGGGGGGGGGGGAAGTAGTGAAGTGCCAGGGCAGTCGGGCGGGGGCCCATGGGTGACCTTGCCCAAAAGAAAAAGCTCAATTTTTCGGTCGGTTTGAGGGGAAAGGATTTCCCCCGACGACCGAGCCGATCAGCACAACCGACGGTTGCAAAAACAACCGTCGATTACAATAACAGACAGTTGCGATTGGTTGGGCGATCCCAACCGACCGTTGCCCAGTCCTAAGGATAAGGCCGCACGCAACAAACTTTGGTAAATGAAGTAATTAATTAGAAATGATTAATTCAAACTCATTGTTTAAAAGAATTTGGTCAATTGCACCTTGCATTTGCCACTATTATTTTATTTTCTACTTATAATGATGCCAAATGTTGGAGTGAAAATTCCAAAGCCGTTAGGATGACTAGAATTTGCTCAATCCGGCAACTTTCTAATAGTCCAAATCAGTATTTATAATTATAAATATTTATAAATATAATTATTAATATCGTATGATACATATTATACTAAATATCATATTATTATCGAAAAATATGAAATAAAAAGAGATTGAGATTGATAAGTTAGTATTTACATTATAATTCATAAACAAATGATTTGTATTTTTCAAATATGTTTAAATCAAGTATCGAAATGATATAAGTAAACTAAGTTCAACTTGCGGTTCGTTTGGTAATCAGAAAATGAGTTGTTAGACGAAATCTTTTTTATATGCAATGTTTTATAAAAAAATTTAATATTTTTTATTGTTTGGATAAACTGTTGAAAATATTTTTTATTGTTTGGATCATTTTATGAAAAATATTTTCATCATGGTAGAGTTATTTAAGTGTTAAAATAATAAATAGGAGTTGATTATAAAACAATACTGATATTTGATTTTTACTTATTTAGGATCAAAATTAAAAATAGAAATAAAAATAGACAAAATCAATAATGATATTTTTCAAATCATTTAACCACATATCTATAATGAAAATAAACTCTAATTTTCAAAAAAATTTCATCTTTTCACTTTTTTATTATAACTATAAAAATATAAATATTTATCAATTATATAAGATATCCAAACCCTATATTTATAAATATGTATTCATTAAATGACGATTATTTAAATATTTTTTATTATAATTATTAATAATATTTAAATATATTATAAATGTGTATTCATCCAATGATGATCATTGAAAATTTTTTTATTATAATTATTAATAAGATTATTACATTTATAAATAAAAAATTTAATTATGTTGAATGGTTCATTAAAAAATATTTTTAAATTTTAATAGTATTGTATAATTTAAATATTAATATTTTAAATTAATTTTTTTAAAGTTATATATTAATATTTTAAATTAAATATTAATATTTATAAAATTTATATTTAAAAGTGTTTTTTTTGTTTTTCGAAAAATATCTTATGCTAGTAATTAATTTCGTTGACTAATAAAATATTTAACATTTAGAATTAATTTTTCATCTTTTAAATAAATATCAATTTTGAAAATATTTTTTTAAAATTATTTTATTATAAAACAAACGGATCCCAAATTTACTTAAATTTTCGAGAAAAACAACGTTGGAAGGAAAGGAGCGTGGCATCAAGAATTCCAAGCCCTTTGTTTTAACATGGCGTTAATATGGTGACACGTGTACAATAGAGGTGGATTGAAGTGTTTGAAAAAGCCTGTATCACCGACAGAAACTGCTCAAGTGTAGGTGCCGATTACACGCGGCAGAATCCCTCTCAATTCATTCAAAAAACTAAAATGATCGCCCAGGTGACGTTATGATCTCTGCTCTCGGATCTTCCCGCTAATAATTTTACTTTGCCACGCGTCCCTCTAATAATTAATTTTTTTTCACTCTTTTGCAATTATTTAAGTTGTTGGTAAGCATCTTTTATTTTTATTTTATTTATTTTTTAACTTTAATCTTAGATAGAGGTGATATGACATTACAACTTTTTTTTAATCTTTATTTTTAAATTAATTGAATTATTTGAATCAATATTCTCAATTATTTAATTAATGCTTCATTTTCCAAGTCATTTATTCATGCATTAAGTGAAAAATTATATGAAGAATAATTCAATTACAATGATAATTCCACCCGAAGAAAAAACAAATGCTAGCTTGGTAATAATAAATAAAAATAATAAAAAGACAAAAACAAAAATGCAAAAAGTGAAAAATCCAAAATTTCCATTGAAGCTCAGATGAAAACGTCTTCTTCTTCTTCATCATCATCATCAACAACAGATCCAACCCCTTTCCCTTCCAACCTCCGAAACTCCAAAAATGTCATCAACCCAACAGCCATCGTCATCTCCATCATCAAAAAAACAAACCCTTTTCATAACATCACTTATAGTCCTATGGTACTCCTCAAACATTGGAGTCCTTCTCTTAAACAAATACTTACTTTCAAACTATGGTTTCAAATTCCCAATCTTTTTAACAATGTGTCACATGTCAGCTTGTGCTTTTCTCAGTTACATCTCCATTGTCTTCATGAAACTTGCCCCTCTCCAACCAATCAAATCCCAACCTCAGCTCCTAAAGATTGCAACCTTAAGTGTCGTCTTTTGCTGTTCAGTTGTTGGAGGTAACATTTCTTTAAGGTACCTCCCCGTGTCTTTCAACCAGGCTGTTGGTGCTACCACTCCCTTTTTCACTGCCTTGTTTGCTTACTTGATGACTTTCAAGAGGGAAGCTTGGGTTACTTACGGTGCTCTTGTTCCTGTTGTTGCTGGGGTTGTCATTGCTAGTGGGGTATGCTTCTCTTTCTGCTTTTCGGATCTTTTGATGATAAAGGAAAGAAAGTCTTTATTTTTATGCTTGGTTAGATTTGTTATAATTTTCTTTTCATTTAATGTGTCTGTGATGATGAGATGATAGATCTACGATTTTGTTAATATTATCTATCTATGTTAATTTGTTCTACTTGTATGCCTTAATCTCTCGCTATCAGATATCATACACAGATTTTCTTGTGGTGTATAATATAATTTATGGGAGGTTAACAAGCCCGATGCATTAGTCAATTTATAGGATAAATCCCGCACTTCCTTCTATGTTATACTATTTCATACAAATTATGCTTAGATAAGTAATCAGTTTCAGAAGTTGAAACAATCGAACCAGCAAAGATTTGTAGCATTATATGTCGGTGTCGTCCGGGTAGACATATTCCAGCCCTGCCCTTGTTCTGTAAGTCGTAGTAACTGCATCAAGCTGCGGCCAGAAGAATGGGATATCCTGAAACTTTGGAAACATTGAACAAGCAGAAGTAAAGTAGACGGTACAGAGGTGGTTGTGGCTAGATGCAAGTTATATGACCGGTATCTCAGAACCAAATTATTGATTGCATTTATTTAATTTGTTTATTTGTAGGATGGTTTATTGCATCCCTTGTGATGATAACTATAGATAGGCTGTCTCATTTGGGTAGGCCAAGACCTTCAGCTGTGACATTGAGCAACTCAGAGAGTAATTCAAATATGCATGATGATTTTCTGCGATAGGTGTGCAGTGAAGGTGCAAATTACTTGCTTGGGAATAGAAGTGGTACAGTACTCAGGACCAAAGTATATTTATGAGAGATGTTGACTGCATTGTAATTTACCCTATCCAGAGTATGGCGTGAGATTCATAGCTCAAACAAGCAAACTGGCTTGAGAGTTGGAAGCGTTGTAGATAAGGAAACAAATAGAGAGAAGCAAAACACAACTTGAGAGTTGGAAGCTTTCTAGATGAGGAAACAAATAGTGAGAAGCAAAAAACAAGCAACCTGGCTTGAGAATCTCCACTCTGTTTATCAGTAATGTCTTCTTAGATGTATAATTGACCATTGATCTAGTAGAACCCAGTGTTGCAACATTTTCTAGCTGTTTTAAGGACAATAGTCTCCCTCCCTTCAGCCTCCTCCAAAACAAAATGACAAAGGAAAACAAAAAGGAGGAAGATGGTTCACTGTTCACAGTGGATGCCCCAACAGTGTTTTTGGGAGTCAAAGGCAGGTTAATGCTCTTAGACATTTATTTCTCTAGCTAGTTGCCTTTCTAGCATAGGTATTGCCTATGTAGACTGCTCTAGAAGGAAGTTTGCTTATTATGTTTAAATAGACTAACCATTGTTTCATTGCATAAAGCTATCTTCATGAGTTTGGTCAAGTTTAAGGATTAAGTTCAGTTGGCTGTTTTGCACCTTGTCATCCCTTCACTTTGCATAAAGGGAGGAAAAGGAACTTTTCAGAAAATCCTGCTCATGCAGTTCATGATTTGTTAACTAGGAAAGAAACTAAGAATTCTAAGTCACTTTCTGTAGTTTAAGGCAACCTTTGCCTCTTTCTCTCCCCCAAAAACACTCTATCTGGTTTAATGAAGTTTGTTCTTTGAATTTGATTATTGGTGGCAGGGTGAACCAGGTTTTCACTGGTTTGGATTCATTATGTGCATAAGTGCAACTGCTGCAAGGGCCTTCAAGTCTGTTCTCCAGGGCATCCTGCTTTCATCAGAAGGGTATAACACTTTTATTTCTATTTGTTCATGATCTGCAATGGGCATGTTTCTTTTTATCTGTTTTTTTCCTTTTCCTTGAGTTTTCTAGTTGGACCATGAGGGGAAGCAGTCACTTCAGTTTCAACCAAAGTTAACTTGCCTAGAATTCTTGTTACTGTCAGACCATGTAGTTGAATGCTGTTATCAAGTAGAATCAATTGTCATTGTCTACCATTGCAATCCACTAAAGAGGATGAGTTTGTCATGTCATGTGTTAGTTGAATTCGACCTTCACCAGCTATGAGTGGTGCAATTCTTACATTTTTTCCTTATAGAAACATATTTTTGGGGCAAAAAAGGGTTAGATGGAGGAAAACTTTTGAAAGCATGAGTTATAGAAGAATAACTGGCCAAAAAAGCTGACTGAAAGGATTTAGATATTTCTTTTCTTTGTTGCCTTTCTTGAGCGAATGACTGCATAAAGGTTGCCAGCTTCTATCAAAGAGGACTTTGACAACAATAAAAGATGAAAGAAAAACTTCCTGCAATTAGTTTGTATGTAACTGTCTTTGGTTGTTGATTATTTGCTTCATTGGTATGTAGTGGAAAAAGAAATGAAAGTAGACCAAAAAGGGATCCTTGTTGATTCCCAGAAGAAACCTTAGAATTAACATGCCCTTCACCTTGGCCTTCCAACTTAAACAATTAATTGAAGCAAAATTATTGGACCTTAACTATTTCTGACTAATCAATTTTTTTTAGGTGATGATTGATGCTATGATACTTGGTTTTTTTACCTTTTTTAGAGTGCAAAATTTCATCCCCAAACTAACGAATCATACAAGTGCTGGTAGTTTTTACTGTCATTTCAAAGTGAGGCATGATATCTAATGTTCTTTCTTCTTCCTCTCCTCCCCCGCCACCGACCCTGGATCTTTTTCTTTTGCCTCATAAGCATTTCTATTTGTTTTTCCCTCTTGACAGAACTGTTTGCACTATTGTTTCATTCTTACAGGGAAAAGTTGAATTCAATGAATTTGCTACTCTATATGTCCCCAATTGCAGTTCTAGTTTTAGTGCCTGCAGCACTTGTAATGGAGCCCAATGTGTTAGAAGTCACCTTATCACTTGGAAGACAACATAGATACATGTGGCTGCTTCTTCTCGTTAATTCAACAATGGCATATTCAGCTAATTTGTCAAACTTCTTGGTGACTAAACATACAAGTGCATTAACACTCCAGGTTCAATCTCGTCCGTCCTCCTCTAGTTTATTTTAACATCTATTTGTATTGATTATAGTAGTAAAGATTGATCATCAGCACTAAACAATGACCCAAGTCAATACATCAAGGGATTCTCATTAAATTGATAAACTCATCAAAATATTCTCATTAAGTTGAGGTTATGAACAACTATCTGTAACTTGCACAAAGTAGAAGCACTAGTATATCTATAATTTGTGAACTTGTATATAATAACCCTATCCCTGATAATTGGCTTAGGTCACAATGACCAAGTTTTTACAATCATTTGAACTCTCTTGAAATGTTGCCTACAGTCTTTAGGTTATACAAGCATGCTAATACAAAACCAAGAAACTGCTTTTCATTCAAGAAAGGTTTTTTGTTGTATCGGATATAGGAAGGATCTAGGATTCAAAATCACATCTTCACTAATGATTGAGGATGAAGGATCAGACTTAAAGAATAGCATAGACCTAGCCCATTGTATTCTCTAGTGGCCTAAAAGGAATCTCAAGTTGGAGATGCTCACATCAAACTTTATCATCATTCTATATCCTTACTCAAGCATTCCCTCGTACTAATATCTATGCAGCTGAAAGCCCAACTAAAAGCTTGTCATCAATTGGAAATTCATAGTTCACTTGTATTTCTCCTGCAAGAATATGGACAATTGCAGTTTCACTCTGTTCTTGCATCCTCTCATCTTCCTGTGGGATGATAATGTGATCAGGTATTAGGCAATGCAAAAGGTGCTGTGGCTGTTGTTATCTCAATACTTCTGTTCAGAAATCCTGTCACAGTTGTGGGCATTGCTGGTTATACAATGACTGTCCTTGGCGTTGTTGCGTATGGAGAAGCGAAGCGTAGGTGTAGATAAATGATTCATCTCATTTACCAATTTTCTGTTTATTTTGGTTTCTATGAAGAGCATACTGAAGTTAATGGGGTAGATTCTTGGTGAATAGTATTGAGCAGAGAGAGAGAGGGAGAGAGATTCTAATTGATCTAAGGGAGTTATTTTTGTGGTATATACAGGCATATTTTCCCTTTGTATTGGATGCTATTGTTCTCTTTTCTTGTTTATTTGGAAGACCTTGTGCCCTATTTTAGCTTCATCTATTCTGCTTAATGTTGGAGAGTTGCCCACCTTATATCGGGTAGGTGAAATCTTGCATGATGTTTAGCCATTGCTAACCGGAGAAGAAGCGTCGGGCTGAGAAGACCAATGCCATGTGTGAGTGGTTTTCACCTAATGAACCGCAGCCATAGGAGCACTTTTTTTGCATTTGAAAGGCAAGATAATTTTATTAATAGGAGAAAATGCGTACTACAAACCCATCATAATAAAGAGAATAAACGGCCATCAAAACCAACCCAAACGGAGCACTACGGTTCGATGATCAAAACATTGACTTGAAACTCTGCTCAAACCCTATTCCTTTTACCTGTGGCATGATTGGGTTGAAGAAAAAGCGACGTAAATCAAACCACATTGCCAAGGCCAAGCTTCAGCAAACCCTTCGATTATACCGATACAAGTATCGCTCTGTCCACACCAATGTTCTCAGAACTTGCTCAAAGCTTCAGCATACTTGATGCTATATAAAGGACGTTAGATACCTGCCATGATGATGCTACTGAACAAAAAGATCAGCCAAGGCTTACACCAGCAACTAACACCAGATGATATAACCCCTTTTTCATTTGTGTCGGAACGAAACATGGCATCAAGCCATACTTCGAAAATTAATCGGGATATTATATTTTTTTGTGAGCTGATTCGAAATTTTTTTTAAACAGTGTTATAATTAAAATAATTAATGAATTCATTAACATCATTAATTACATAAAATTCTAGCAAAAATAATATAATTAGTGAGAATTTTTGGCACGTCAATGATGTCATTTGATGCCACTTGTATCAACCTGTATCCGTCCTTCGTCAGAAGTCAGAGAGGTGTGGTCAGGTGTGCGCCTAAAAATTAAAGTCCCTCCAGCACTATATCTAAAATCTCCTTTCGAACTCCGGGGATCAAAGGATATAAAGAAGAAAAACGAAAATATAAAATAAAATTTGTGATCCCAAAAATCAAAACTTGTCAACAACCAAGTCTATTGCCATTCAAGCAGCCTCAAGAATGACATTTTGGTTTACCTTTTGGGCAATCATGCCAGCTCTGGACCACTAGGAAGTGCATCATAACCATCGTGGTGCTTTGGCTTAACAACTGCTCTTCCAACAGGGATGCACTTCAGAATAACAGCAACAATCAGGCTAACTGACCCAATTAAGATGCAAACTACCCATAGCTGCCAACTTAGAGGTACAGTGCTGGCAAAAGTTCCAAGGTACTCAACTATGACCACTTGGAATGCTATTGTTGAAACCATGACCGCTATAAATATCCAGCTGTCAAACATGCCCCGGAATATGTTTATCTTCTCTATTTCACGACTATTAATTTCATTAAACACCTGGAATAATCCCAAAGGGAAAAAAAAAAACCCTCAATAATCACAACATAATTATCAATTATTCTTCTCCAAAGTACCATCTCAGCCAAATGAAATAAGAATATTAAAAAATGCCGATAGTAAATCAAATTCACATTATATTCTTTACTTCTGACTTGTCAAATGTTGCAAGCAAATCAAGCCAGGTGTTTCCACATCAAAAGCTGAGCAGCAATCAGGCCGTATTCCAAGGAATGTCTGTTTTTGTTCCTACTAGTCAAATTGAATGGTACCACATCTAACCAGATGGTCCGTATTATTTTCTCTGACAATCTTTATGCTATGATTTTTAGTTCTTTGCCTAGCGATTCAAGTCTGCGATTTCAGTCCATGTTCAGCTGCGTAGTTAAACAGTCTTATTCAAAACTATTCTGACAAGTTCTTACCTAATAATTACAGCCCTAAGCTCCTAAAAATTAGCGCACTTGGAAATACAGATAACTTGCAACTGTTAAGAGGGATGGTGTGACCAAATAATTGTCCTACCTAATTCATAAAGAGAGACTATTTGTCATGCTGAAGAATAATCCATCTAAACATGCGCATAAAAAGGAAGGCCAAAGAAGAAGCTTTCAGTACAGCTACTCAGCTAGTTCAATCTAAAATATAATACCTGGCAAAACACAAATGAGTTGAATATCACAGTATTCAGCACACTGGTGGCATCTGAACCTGTAAGCCTTAGAAGCTGCTTCCCATCAAACTTGAGAACACCAAGGACTATCAGTTGATATATACTCTGACCAATAATATTTCTCCACATTGGTTTGGTGATGAAACTTGCACCCCTTGGAACTGGGGGTCTTTTCATTAATGCATCATTAGGAGGTTCTGTAGCCAGTGCCAATGCCCCAAGAGTGTCCATGATCATATTAACCCAAAGCAATTGTACAGCTGTGAGGGGGGCAGATCCTGAAAGTTGTGCAGAAGTCAGATAATGATGAGGACGATGTCTAATCATTACAACTACAACACGTCTGACAAAAGCTAGCTTCATGATCCAGCATACCTGAGATGCATGCGGAAACAAAATTGATTACAAGAGCAACTACATTAACTGTTAATTGGAACTGCACAAACTTTTGGATGTTAATGTATACTGCACGTCCCCATTTAGCTACATTCACAATAGTAGCAAAATTATCATCCATTACGATGACATCAGCATTTTCTTTGGCAACCTGTACAGACAGTATCAAGGTATTAACAATATCAAAGTTGGAATGGAATGAGAAGAATGTAAACAAGCTTGATATGGCAACAAAGCCAGCCCAAACTACAAAAATATCAGTCTGATAGCAGATATCTTCATAAAAAGGAAAGAGCAAGACCAGTTAACAGCCTCTAACAAACATTATAATCCAGTCTGAATGACCTCCACAACTAGATGTACTTGCAAAGGGACTATGCTGACAATTTCTAATCATATCATGTAATCAATGAAAAACTTGATGACAAACTTGATTGCATTTAACATTAGTTGTACTTGCATAAGAACAGTTATTTGTTGACAGTTCTAGATTCCAATATTTACAGCCTAATAAGACACAAGGATGTCAAGAACAAAGATATTAAGAAATTGAGTTTAAATGAATCCAAGAACACTTATCAGAAGCAGTAATTATCCAAAGATCTCGACATAAAAAAAAAATGACCATTTAAAAAATTACACAAGCCTTTCTTCCAAAAGAAGGTTGAAGAAACTTTTTTGCAAAGGCAGAAGTATCTTCCACAAGCATGTTGAGGAGAAAATAAGAATGATGAGAACATGGCCTGTTCAAAACATAAGCATGTTGAGAACAAAGAAACTAAGAGAATAAATTCAAATGGTAGCAAAAAATTCATCAGAAGCACAATGATTCCGAAAATCTCTTTGGAAAAGAAGAGTCATTCACAAAATTATACAGGCATTTTTTCAAAGAAAGGGACCAGTATCTAAGTAAGAAGAGGAATGGAGACAAATTTAAAGCTCAAGAACTTCACCTAAGCATCTTTTAGAAAATGGAAGTCGGAATCAACATATTCAGAAACCTTGTTCAAGAAGCCAATAAAATTCATAACTCTCACCACTGGAAAATAACTTGTCCTTTCCTTGACCGATAAACTAATTCAGGAAAGTCGAGACAACTGAGAAAATAGGGGGTTGAAAATATGAATACAAAAATGAAATGATAATCCTGTAGAGTTGCTTATTTCCTATAATAAACCAGTTTCCACAGTCCCGAGGTAAATCAAATACCAGAACAGAAAACAAATATATTCCTAGCCAGAAAGATGATTTCCATTGATAACACTAAGAGAATAAACAATAAATTAAAATCACATAGGATGCCAAATAGAATAAAAAAAAAAGTCAGCACAGACAAAAAGCCAAACATGTTCAAATTTCTCAGAATCATCAGAATCAAATAAAACTGCGCATTCACACAAACCTCTGTTCCGGCTACACCCATAGCAAGTCCAATGTCTGACTGATGCAAAGCTGGAGCATCGTTGGTCCCATCACCAGTCACTGCAACAACTTCTCCAAACATATTTCTTAATTGGTTGACCAAATTGAGCTTATCCATAGGCTTTGACCGTGCCATTACCTGAAATCCATAACAATGTTCAAGAAAATGTACGCCTCCCAAGGAATAAATTGAATGTGAAATTTTACAAACGTTAATTTAGAACCTGAATATTTGGTATAATGTCCCTCATCTCATCAAGAGACTTTCTACTAAATTCTGGTCCTTGTATGGCATTTTCATCTGCTGTTAGTATGCCACATTCTTTAGCTATCGCTTTTGCTGTATAAATATTATCACCAGTGACCATGCGAACAGTAATTCCTGCAGCTAAACAGGTTTGAACTGCTTCCTTGACTCCAGGACGCACAGGATCCTTGATCCCAACAACTGCCATCAAGGTATAGCCACTTTCAGGTATGCTATTCTTAGGATAAGTGTCATCTACATCTTTAAAAGCCAGGCATAGAGTTCTTAGTGCTTCAGAGGCAAAGCCATTTATGACATCTGTGATATTTCTTACTCGTTCTTCAGATAAAGGAACTAGCTCTCCGCTGTAATCAGCAACCTTGTCGCACATACTTAATACTATTTCTGATGCACCTTTACAAAAAGCTCGAATCCCACCTTCCGGAAGAGCCACCAGCACAGACATCTTCTTCCTGCATGAATTGAAAGGCTCAACCTTAAGTATCTTAACCTGTCTTCGTTGGGCATCATGATCACCACCCAAAAGCAGCCCAAATTCCAACAACGCTGTTTCTGTTGGTGTTCCCAAAATGGAGTTCTTCCCCTTTTCATCCTTCACGACTTCAGCACTACTATTTAGAAATATAGCACGTAAAAGGACGCTGAACACTCCTTCAGATATCTCCAGCTCATCAAGGTTTTTGCTCTCATTACCACTAATATCTTTAATTTTCTCACATATCCATATCCTATTAACCACCATATGGTTTGTTGTTAGTGTCCCTGTCTTATCGGTACAGATGCAACTTACGGAACCCATTGTCTCACATGCGGAGAGATGCCTTACCAATGCCCTTTCAGCCATTAATTGCTTCATTGCAAAGGCCAGGCTCAGAGTCACTGCCA